GTGTGTGAGAGAGAGAGAGAGAGAGAGAGAGAGAGAGAGAGAGAGAGAGAGAGAGAGAGAGAGAGAGAGAGAGAGAGAGAGAACCTTTTGTCCTCAGTTGGGAAAGCTCAAGAAGGCGGCGTGTTCTGTCGCACTCATTCGTCAGTTTATCATTCTCCTCCTTAAGTCTTTCATTCTCTAAACGGATTTCAACTGCCTCTCGGCACTCCAAGACACACATCTTTTGCAGTTCAGTAATCTCCTCTGCAGTCATCGACCAATCTTCGTATCCTTCCAGCTCGCCATCCACTGCAAATTCAAATTTCAAATCATATCAGGAAACAACGACGACGACAACGACGATGCAACAACGACGACGACGACAACAACGACGACAAGCACAACTGTGTGACCATAAGGATGACTAACTGAGTCTAACTCTCTGACAATGTGAAAGCCAAAGCCTGACTAATCTCTGTCCGACAAACAACTTTCTCTACAAATCATATGAAAGTTAATGCGACACAGACACACGGACAGAGGATGAGTGGAAATTATGAATGCTGAAGATATTCTATGACACACACACACACACACACACACAAATTCGCATAATTATTTAATTACTCTTTCTTTGTCCCTCTTCTTCCCAGTATTTTCCTGCCGTCCCTCGGTCTTTTCTCGGATGTTTCTAAGTGCCTAAGTTCATGACCTTCAAGATGTGCCTAATAATCGGTGCCTGTTTCCATAGAGCTGATGCAACAACATTTCTACCCAAAGGAAAGTAATCAATGCTGACAGAAGAAAAAGAAAAAAAAAGATCAATGCTGACAGGGGTCCACAGGCCATAACGTGGGGAAGCGTTGCGTGGAGTATGCAAAGTTTTTGCAAACGCTTACAAAGGCTACCAGAGTGGCCCGGGACCACTTGCCCGGTCGGACAAATATATAATATATTATATAATATATATTAAATTAATAATAATAATAATAATATTTGTTAACTTTATTTTTTACTTTTAACTTCAGTAAAGAATTTCGATGTGACCCTGAGGCAAAAGTTGTTCAGTTTATTTTTCAAATTTCTTCTGCATAACATAGTTCTTTTCACATTTTTTGGATTTTGTTTTTTTATTGCTGGGACCTTCTTTGGTCCTTGCACGGCCATGCCGCCTGGGCAAATAAGGTGACACGGGCGGCCCGGCTGGTAGCCTATTCAGGAAAAAAACCAAAAAAAAAATGGACGCTGGGCCTGGTTCCCAGCAGGTGCCGCTCCTCACTAATAGACGGGTTGCCGTGTGAAAAAAAAAAAAAAAAAAAAAAAGGAGTTCATCCGACTTCATCGCACACTTTGAGAGGGGCTGCTATGTTTGAGATGCCTATGCCTCTGTGTTTCCTGCGTGATGAGAGACATTCGTCTTGTGACTTCCTGGGTCTTGATGGTGGCATGAATGCTAGTCTGCTGGAGTTTTCCATATTATGATGAGAGGGGTGATAGTCTGCAGACTCTGCACTGATCCTTGCTGCGTCCATTGGTTTGCATTGCTGTGGGACTTGCTCTGTTGGTGTCCCACCTGCCTGCGTGCCCACTTGCATTGCCATTCAGTGCCTTGTCATGATTCGGTATCGAAGCCAACTATCACTCACCCACCAACCCACCCACCCACCCACCCACCCTCCAACCCACCCACCCGCTGACCCACCCATACCACACACACCGAGAACTTGGGGGCCTGGGTATACTGGGCGCTGCCTCCCTGCCTTCCCAATACACGTGGTTAACAGGGAGTGTTATTTTCACAAATTTTCAGCAAATTTTCCACTGACACTTTCATGGTACGACGCTTTAACAGACTACCGATCAAAACAAAACAACTCCAATGGACTACTGAATAATACAGATCAGACGAAAAACTAAATGTTCGCATGAACAGATATCACAGCCATGTGCATACTCAAAACTGGGTCACTCCGTACAGGAATCTGACCATTGTCACAACCAGATGCATATGGAAAAAAAAGGTGAAACCCCTTAATGTGAGTATGCACCTAGTCTGGATCTTAGCCGAAAGGGGTCAAGCAGAAAAGGACAAACCGCAAACTCACTCATGTTGAAGTCAAAGGCTGAACGTCCAGGTTCCTCCCCCCTCGTCGTCTTCTGTGCCTGTGCCTCTGTGTCCACCGTCTCCTTGTCGTCAGACCATCCTGGCACGTCCTCCTTCTCTGCTCCTTTTTTCAATGAAAGGGGATCTCCATCTCCTTCAGATGAGAAGGAAGAGTAGGAGGAGGAGGAGGAAGAGGAAGAGGAGGAGCATTTTCCACTACCATTACGCCGTTCTCTATGTGTTGGCTTGTCATCATTCGCTTTGCTCGACGACTCCTTTCTGCACGATGGTGATGGCTTTCGATTCGCCTCGTCCTCGTCCTCGTCCTCGTTCTTGTTCCCGTTCCTGTTCTTGTCAGTTGCGCAAGCCTGCTCCCGCATCGGATTCATCCGCTTTTCCCAGTCGTCTTTCCCTCTCCGCCGCCTTCGTCCCCGACCGGGAAATGTGCCCCAGAGTGGGCTACCCGCCTCGAGCCCTTCCACATCCATCTTCAATCTTTTTGTGAGGAGAAATTTGAGAGAGGCTGCCTCTAGACGAGACCTATGTAGAGATTCTTGCAAACTCTTTATCTCGTCTTCCTTCTCCAAAGCTTCTGCATGCACCACCTCCGCCATTTGCTCCACCTGCGGTCCATAAAGTTGCATACCATTTGTTCCAAATGATTGTCGTGTTGCACCATTCACAGAAAACCGCAACAAGAACGGAATGGATTCAGTGCACCTCATGCTGTCAGTGTAACACTTTTTCCGCATTTGGTTTTCTCATAAACAGTATTGAATAATTGAACTGAAAAAAAAAAAAAAAAAAAAAAAACATGTAATGAACCCAGAATGGCAGATACTCAGAAGTCGTCAAACATCAGTAGTTTCATTATCTGCATCAACGTCTCCACATCGTGAAGTGAAATCTCAAACAGTATCTCATTACCAGCAAAAGAACGGAGTGGAGGGGGAACAGACAAAGGAGAAGATGAAAGAATAATAATCCCTTCAGATCCCTCTCCTTCTACGGGCTTCTTCCCTCTCCACGTCAACAATGATAATAAGTACATTCCTGATCACACACAATAGTGCCCCGTGGCACTTTATCTCGTGAAGACCATGAAGACATAGCAGATTCCAGTGTCGACGTCAACCTCAGGTGAGTACCCGATCTCCTTCATCCACAAGTCCCAATCTTCCTCCTCCACGCAACCAGTCACCTCATGTAGACAGCGTGGACAGTGCCACATCAAAGGTCGAGATAGGTGGCATATGCCACATCATCAATGAAGACCAGTGGCAGCGCCACATCAGCATGCACTGCAAACCAGAGGCAGCGCCACATCAGAACAGAGGTAGCGCCACATCAGCATGCAATGTAGTCCAGTGATAGCGCCACATCAGCATGCAATGTAGACCAGAGGTAGCGCCACATCAGCATGCAATGTAGACCAGAGGTAGCGCCACATCAGCATGCAATGTAGACCAGAGGTAGCGCAACGTCAGCATGCCACTCCAGCAAGCCTGGCGCACAATGCAGGAAGCGCCAGCATGCTGCCTCTGCTGTTGTCCGCATCGCCAGTGCATAGCCAGCGTCTTGCCAGCGTCGAGCCAGCATAATGCCAGCGTCTAGTCAAAAGTCGAACCAGCGTCAAAGCAGCATAGCAAGACTGAATGCTTGACTCACTCGAGGCCAGCCTTAAGTAACAATTGTCGAGGCTGTCTGGCCTCGGGTGCTCTTCCCACAGTCGTCCAGATTGACTCTC